TTTAGTTCTTTGAACCTTATTTCTCATTGCCGATCTACCTCCACTTATTCTGCTTGTATTACCACTATATCCCTTAATTAATTTACTGGGTATCCAAATATTTGCTGACTTCTGTCTTAAATATACTCAACAACCGAGTATGCAAAGTTCAGTGGAGTGGAGGAGAATTCCATTATTCCATATCTCTTAGAGTGAAGAAATTTTTCTTCATCTCCATTATGAAAAGCCAACCCTTATTCTGAGACTTTGGCCTTTTGGGGAATATCGTCTCTGTATCACCATAATGTTTCAATGGGATCTCCTGTCACTTTTTTTAAACTCTACCAAACACAACCCACTCTACTCGGTGTCGAGTTGGAGGAGCACAGCAGGCCAGGCAGCATCAGAGGAGCAGGAAAGTTGACGTTTTGGGTGTTATCTCTGACTCCAGCATAGTTCTTACTATCTCCCAATCTACTCAATCTCTCCTCTTTGAATAATCTCCTTCTTCCAGGACTTATTCTATGGAACCATTGTTGCACTTTATCAGAACCATCCTATAGAGTAAGGAGAACAAAACTGTGGTAGTGGGATGGAATTTAAATGGCAGGGAACTCATCCTCTCCTAAGGAATTTTGTGGCAACCCGTCAACCAGATTGCTCTGAGTTTCTGACGAAACAGAATTCCTAACTACGGTGGAATCCCTGCAATGGGGCTCGCTGCCACACCATGATCACTTAATTGCAGCTTTTCAATAGCCTACCCCATAAAAATTGCCTCTCATCGGAGGCCAGTAACTCTTCAGTGCCAGCAATGCCACCTAGAACTGGTGGCTGGTGCTAGTATTACAATGAGACCTACCCAGATGATCAGCAGTGGGTCCTGCAGAAACAGGTAAGCAAGCACAATGGAATTCTCAGGGAGGGGATGCTGACTGCAGTGGATTGACCACAAGGCTTAATGGTAATAGCTTGCTGTGAGGAAACACCCTACTTCATCCTTGATCATTGTTAGATCATTGTCATTTCCTGTTAGTCATAGAGTCATACAACACAGAAGCAGACCCTTTGGTCCAACCAGTCCATGCTGAGCATAATCCTAAACTAAACTACTCCCATCTGCCTCCTCCTGGCCCATATCCCTCCAAATCATTCCTATTCACATGTCTATCGAAATGTCTTTTAAACTTTGTATTTGTCCCCACATCTACCACTTACTGAGGAAGTTCATTCCACACGCGAAACACCCCCTGTGTAAAAAATCTGCCTCTCTTTTTTAAATCTCTCTCCTCTCACTTAAAAATGTGCCCCCTAGGCTTGAAATCCCCCATACTCGGGAAAAGACAACTACCATTAACTCTATCTAAACCCCTCATTATTTTATAAACTTCTATAAGGTCGTGTCTCAACCTCCTACGCTCCAGTGAAAAAAGTCCCAGCCTATCCAGCCTTTCGTTATAAATCAAACCTTACATACCCTTTTTATGTCAAGCCTGCACCTCAATATTTTGAGAGCTGTTGGTTTTCAATATATGTCCACCAATCATGTTCTTTTATTTCACTGCCTTCTTTTATTTTCTCATCTACTCCGCATTTTGGTTTAGGCCCTCCAGTTCTGGACACATTGCTACCCTTCCATTTAATATACTAACCACCTGCTTGTCCACATGGCTTTTTAAAATAAAAAGAAAATTCTGTGGATGTTGAAAATCTGAAATTAAAACAACTTGCTAGAAAACCTTGGAAGGTCTAGCAGCATCTATGGTACAATGGAGAGAACAATTCGATATTCTCCTTTTCACACCTTCATTGGCACCTGTTTTCTCTCTATCTCTCCTTTACCACAGTCATCATCCCTCGATCTTCAGCTATGGGCACCCTCACATCTGTTCCACTTACTCTTCCTCCTTCTCCGTCAGCAGCATTAACAAAAAAACACCATTTTTAAGCTCCTTTCAGTTCTGAAGAGTCATATTAGATTTAAAACATTACTCTGTTTCCGTCTCCACAGATGCTGCCAGATCTGAGTTTTTCCAGCACATCCTATTTTATTCTTAAGATCAGCTGTTCAAAATATTCTTTCATCTTTGGTTTAATTCACTTCATTTCTTCTTCTCATTACTGCAAATCCAGCGCCAGCCCTTTTCACTTCATTAATGTATTGCTGCTAACAGGTTTTTATCATTCATCATTCCCATTTCTTTAATTTGTTATTAATATTCTGCTGCCCGCTGATCAGTTTGTATATTTCTTTAGTATATCATTGTCCTCTTTTCTGTGTTTATTAATCATGATCATACAGTAAAATTTTATTGATTCTGCATAGCTGGTGCGATATCAATTAAATGTTGTCTGCTTTAGTTGTTTTGCACTGTTCATGAGTAACATTTTGTTGTTGTTGTCGGGTGTAGTAATACATGTGGTCTGTGTTGGTCGTGGTTGTTTGAGTTTTCTTGTTGGGACTGAAAAAATATATATTTTGTTATAGAGATAGGAGGAACTGCCAATGCTGGAGAATCTGAGATAACACGGTGTAGAGCTGGATGAACACAGCAGGCCAAGCAGCATCACAGGAGCAGGAAAGTTGACGTTTTGGGTCGAGACCCTTCTTCAGAAATGGGGGAGGGGAAGGGGATTCTGAAATAAATAGGGAGGTGGATAGAAGATGGATAAAGGAGAAGATAGGTGGAGAGGAGACAGACAGGTCAAAAAGGCGGGGTTGGAGCCAGTAAAGGTGAATGTAGGTGGGGAGTTAGGGAGGAGATAGGTCGGTCCAGGGAGAACGGACAGGTCAAGGAGGAGGGATGAGGTTAGTGGGTACGAGATGGGGGTGGGGCTTGAGGTGGGAGGAGTGGTTAGGGGACGAGCTGGGCTGGTTTTGGGATGCGGTCGGGGGAGGGGAGATTTTGAAGCTTGTGAAGTCCACATTGATACCCTTGGGCTGCAGGGTTCCCAAGCGAAATATGAGATGCTGCTCCTGCAGCTTTCGTGTGGCATCATTGTGGCAATGCAGGAGGCCCAGGATGGACATGTCGTCCAAGGAGTGGGAGGGGGAGTTGAAATGGTTCACGACTGGGAGGTGTAGTTGTTTATTGTGAACTGAACGTAGGAGTTCCGCAAATATCGGCGCCGCCTCGTGTTCCCACGAGGAGCTCGAACAGTTCATCCACTTCACTAACACCTTCCACCCCAACCTTAAGTTCACCAGGACCATCTCTGATACCTCTCTCTTCTTCCTGGACCTCTCTATCTCTATCTCCATCTCCATCTCTGGCATCCACCTGGAAAACGTATCCATTTCAAGCCTACTGACTCCCACAGCTACCTAGAATACACCTCCTCTCACCCACCTTCCTACAAAAAGGCCATCCCCTATTCCCAATTCCTTCGCCTCTGCCGCATCTGCTCCCGAGATGAAGCATTCCACTCCCGGACATCCCAGATGTCCTCGTTTTTCAAGGACCGCAACTTCCCCTCCACAGTGGTCGAAAATGCCCTTGACGTGTCTCTCGCATTTCCCGCAACTCATCCCTCACACCCCCTACCCGCAATAACAACCAAAACAGAATCCCCCTCGTCCTCACGTACCACCCCATCAACCTCCGGATCCAACGCATCATCCTCCAACACTTCCGCCATCTGCAATCTGACCCCACTACCAAAGACATTTTTCCCTCCCCACCCTTATCTGCTTTCCGGAGGGACCACTCTCTCTGTGACTCCCTTGTCCGCTCCACACTCCCCTCCAGCCCCACCACCCCCGGCAGTTTTCCCTGCAACCGCAGGAAGTGCTACAGCTGCCCCTACACTTCCCCCCTCACCCCCATCCCAGGCCCTAAGAAGACCTTCCACATCAAACAGATGTTCACCTGCACATCTGCTAATGTGGTATACTGCATCCGCTGTTCCCGTTGTGGTCTCCTCTACATAGGGGAAACCAAGCGGAGGCTTGGGGACCGCTTTGCGGAACACCTACGCTCAGTTTGCAACAAACAACTACATCTCCCAGTCGCGAACCATTTCCACTCCCCCTCCCACTCCTTGGACGACATGTCCATCCTGGGCCTCCTGCATTGCCACAATGATGCCACCCGAAAGCTGCAGGAGCAGCATCTCATATTCCGCTTGGGAACCCTGCAGCCCAAGGGTATCAATGTGGACTTCACAAGCTTCAAAATCTCCCCTTCCCCGACCGCATCCCAAAACCAGCCCAGCTCGTCCCCTAACCATTCCTCCCACCTCAAGGCCCACCCCCATCTCCTACCCACTAACCTCATCCCTCCTCCTTGACCTGTCCGTCCTCCCTAACTCCCCACCTACATTCACCTTTACTGGCTCCAACCCCGCCTCTTTGACCTGTCTGTCTCCTCTCCACCTACCTTCTCCTTTATCCATCTTCTATCCACCTCCCTCTCTCTCCCTATTTATATCAGAATCCCCTTCCCCTCCCCCATTTCTGAAGAAGGGTCTCGACCCAAAACGTCAACTTTCCTGCTCCTGTGACGCTGCTTGGCCTGCTGTGTTCATCCAGCTCTACACTGTGTTATCTTATATTTTGTTATACCTTATTTTTAATTTTTCATCTTGTTAATCTTCAATCACCTATTACACTGACCACTTGACATTGCCTGCTATTTTTAGTCTACTGTCATGACATTTTCCAACGTCAGAATAAAACTTTATAATATTGTCTGGACCTTGTCTGTCCATGCACAATGGTGATTAACTAGTATATATTAAAAACAAATCTTAATGTGACCAGATGAAGATGAACTCTGCTGCAGTGGTGGCTTGCCAGTTTTTCATGATGTGACAGGACCTAATTGTATTGTGAGAGAAAAATTGCACATTCAAACAATAGATATGCTTTATTTTTATATTGATTACAGAATGAGAAATCTGGTTTATGGTATTTAAGTGTGATCTGCTCTCTTTCCCCAAAAATGAATATTCTTTTTGTTAGCACTTTAATATTAGCACATTGGTCACTCACTTGAACTCTAACATTTCATTGCTGTTAGTGTGAGAAGATTATTGCTGAAGATTTGAGAGCAGTTCCTCTGCATCACTATCCAGAGTTTGTGGAGGCCTGTGCAGACCTCATCAATGAAGAATGGAAGAGGAGCAAAGCATCTCGGATTCATTCACTCCATAAATCCTCCAATTGTTTTCCAGTTTGCCTCGTGTTGATAAGGACTGTGAAGAATGTAGACAATCCTAGGAATGAAACCAAAGGACAACTGTTGGGTCACAGCAGGCTCTCTCATGTAGTTGGCAAGCCCACAGGCTTATTTGTGGAGACAGTTGTTGTTGCTAAGGAATTCCGGGGCAAAGGTTATGGTAGAAAGTTAATGGAAGCCACAGAAACCTATGCCAAACGTCGTGGGTTCAACACGCTATATCTCAGTACTCATGATAAACAACATTTCTATTCCCATTTGGGATATGTGTTATCAAATCCAGTCCAGAATGCGGGGTCGATGACCACATTCATGCACATGGAATTCCTTGAAAAGTTGTCTGTGGGTTCTACTCTGCCACAGTCATCTAATTCCAGTCACTCTAAATCATTAAGGACAGTTTTAGGTTGTTCAAGTTATGTATGTTCAGGTATGACTACGCACCCTAAATCTCCAAATTCCTCATCAGCTCATTTACATTTACAGACCCCACACCCAACTCCTAAACCTCCCCCTATTTCACCACCTATTCCCCCTTTACAAATATCTACCCCTCCAATTTCTGCCTCTGCTCAAACATGTAAACTCAGTCCTCGTCCACCATCTCATCCAATCTCATCTTCCCTGTCAAATGGGTCAGTAACTTCTCGATCCAATTCCTTTGCCACATTCTCTCCACAACCTGGACAACATCAAGCTCCTGCGTCTTATTTGTCAACCCCTCCACAGTTAAATGTTTCACCCCCACACCCACCCCCCCTTCCACCCTCACAGTTAACCCAATTACCTTGTCATTCCCATACATCAGGAGACCACTACAGACCATTTCAGCAGAAAGGAAACACTACACAGAGCCTGTTGGAGACCCCCTATAGAGATGTCAAAGGACTTCCTGTCTTCTGGATGAAGAAGGAACTGTAACGATAAAACTGTGTTCTACATGTATGAAGGAAGCTATTTGACGACTGTTGTTGAGTCAGCTGCTGCCAACTGGAATGCAATGGGAAAGAAACTAAAAGGAGAACCTTAAGAACTAGTTGTTAGTAGTCTTTATAGTTGGATGGTTGCCTCAGTTAATATTTCAGACTGAGAACTATGTTACTGCTAAATTAATGTCAGTTTGTTAAAGAATGATAGAAATAACAGCCATCAAAATGTGTTTTAACCTGGAATGTATATTAGCGTGCAGGTGGCATTCTTGCATGGTCTTTTCCTGGAATAACATGTCCATCATACATGTGAAACCAGCTCCCTGGAAATTCAAGACATGCTATTCAAAATATCTCATAAAGCAATAATGTACTCAATAACTGTTCACTGTTTTGAGAAAATTCTATGTCAGTTGATGAATGTACAAAAGTATATGGTGTACATGATCATTTCTAAGTTTTCAGAGTGTTTTTTCCTGGTTTCTTTCCTTTCACTTGTATTTTACACCATGTCTTTAAATCTTCTGATTGGACACATTTCATTTTGACAGGCATATTTTTGAGCTTGCTGTTCTGAATTATGCACTTGCTATCAGGGTGGAAGCATCATCTTCAGCTAAACTCCTGAAGTCTCCCTTAGCAACAACGGGCCACTTTAAATTTACTATGAATGTCTTGTTCAGATAAGGTTCTAACATTACAGTAATTTTGTACTTTTAAAACATCAACATAAAAATTAACAGCCCTTATTCAAATCATGTAAACCAGAGGAAACATTGTACCTTAAATGTTTAGCACTTGACAGTGTTATACATGTGCTTAGTCTTCGTAAAGCTCCATTCTCCTTTAAGCCTAGATCCAGGAGGACAGTTCTTTGTTACATTTTTATCAAAAGAACATGTTTCTGCTGTATATTTGGAGAAACACGTTCTTTAATATTTTACCTTCATAGAATTGAAATGCCCAATCCAGGTCAGAACTTCAAAGTTGTGTGATGGATATTCTCCTCAGGAGTTCCAAGTGGATATTGTATTGGGGTTCCAAATCACACATTATTAATGCTGATGCTACAGAAGGACCAACAACACACTTCTCAGACTTATGTTTTTTTTATTATTTCAAATATTTATTCAACAAATACTATTTAATTCTTTTTAACAACTTGAAAAAGAAACACAAATATTCAACAACTGTTTGGATACCCTTTTGAGCATGTCCTATTTGTTGTTCAGGCAACAATAAAATAAATTCTTTTAATTGTTGAAATGTTCCCACACGTGGCTCACTGGCCATAGCACTTAGACCTGCAAAGTATCACTTCATATTACTAAATCAGACAATCATCAATTTTTGGACACAAGCAGTAATTTTAGCAAAATAACACAAACTGCAATATCTGTGAAAGTTTTTCTTTTCCCTCCCAGGTTTTTTTTAATAGAAACTCACTTGCATATTTCCTGAATTCAGATTCTGCCAGGAGTCCGCATAATTGGACAGTGTTTTATAATATTACTTTTTTTAAAAATAAATTTTTGCTTTAAAGATGGATCTTTGTAAATAAGATTAGTAATGCAACTGAAAAGGGATATATCACAAAACATGTTTTTAGTTGCAGTGTCAATACACTACCTGTGAATAGCATTTTTCTGAAAATGTTCAAAATCTCTTAGTGTCCTGTGCTCAAAATCATAGAGTTGTCCAGCACGGGAACAGACTCTTCGGTCCAACTCGTCCATGCCGACCATGTCTTTTGCCCGGCCCGACACCTCAGGCCCTGTCATCACATGGGCCGCTTTCAGCACAAACAATCCATTTTCCCCTACTTATGGTCACCATTGGCATGGAGTCATAGAGATGTACGGCACAGAAACAGATCCTTCTATCCAACATGCCCAAGCTAACCAGATATCCTAAATTAATTTAGTCCCATTGGCCAGCATTTAGCCCATTTCCCTCTAAACTCTTCCTATTCATATAACCATTCAAGTGCCTTTTAAATGTAATTGTACCAGCCTCCATCACTTTCTCTGGCAGCTCATTCCATACACGCACCACACTCTGAATGAAAACGTTGACCCTTAGGTCCCTTTTAAATCTCCCCCCCACCTCACCTTACGCCTGTGCTGTCTAGCTTTGGACTCCCCTATCCTGAGAAAAAGACCTTGGTTTTTCACCCTATCCGTGCCCTTTATGATTTTATAAACCTGTATAAGGTCCTCCCTCAGCCTCTGACACTCCAGGGGTAAAAGCCCCAGCCAATTCAGCCTCTCCCTATTAGCTCCAACCATGGCAACATCCTTGTTCTTGTAAATTCTTTCTGAACCCTTTCAAGTTTAGCAAATTGCTTTATTCATTCATGGCATGAGGGCATTGCTGGCTAGGCCAGCATTTTTTTTGCCAATCCCTAATTGCCCAGAGGGCAGTTATGAGTCAACCACATTGCTGTGGTTGTATTTCCTATAGCAAAGAGGCCAGAACTGAATGCAGTGTTCCAAAATGGGCCTAACCAATGTCCTGTACAGCTGTAACATGACATCCCAGATCTTGTACTCAAAGCACTCACTAGTAAAGGCAAGTGTACCAACGCCTTCTTCGCTACACTATCTGTCTGTGACTACACATTCAAGGAACTATGAATCTGCATCCCAAAATCTCTTTGTTTGGCGACGCTTCCCTGGACCTTATCATTAAGTGAATAAGTCCTGCCCCCATTTGCCTTACCAAAATGCAACACCTCACGTTTATGTAAGTTAAACTCCATCTACCACTCTTTCGCCCATCTGATCAAGATCCTTTTGTACTCTGAGATTACTTTCACTGTCCGCTACACCACCAATTCATCTGCAAACTTACTAACCATTCCTCCTATATTCAAATCCAAATCATTTATATAAATAACAAAAGGCAACGGGCCCAGCACCAATCCATGTGGCACACTGCTGGTCGCATGCCTCTAGTCCAAAAAACAAGTCTCTACTACCTTCAAGCCGATTTTGTATTCAAATGGCTAGGTCTCCCTGAATTCCATGTGATCTAACCTTGCTAATCAGTCCACAATGTGAAACCTTGGCAAACCTTTGTTTGTTTGGAAACTCCTTAAAGGTCTGCAAACAAGTGGAAACTGCCAATGGTGATTCATTCACAGTAGATGTGTCGCCAGTTTTCTGGATGGAGCTTGCTTCTAGCACAAAAACCTGAAATGCACTGAATAAAATTTGCTTTAACAATTCTGTGGTCCTTTCGGCCACCTGCATCAACATGGGGCAAATTACATCAAGAAAACAATTATAAACAAGTCAAACCCCAGATAGGTTAGAGAGGAAATGGGATCTTGCATGGACCAAAATTGTGTGGTGTCCTTTTCCTCACAAAACATTTTTTTTGATGGCTGATGTTCAGTATGTTCACGAAGGAAAGCAAGGAATATAGAAAGATCATTTGGCCTTTTTATATGGTATTTTAGCCCAGTTTCTCTACTTCTTTCCCAGCAGTACTTAACCATTATTACAACATGATTCTCACACACTGGCATGATACCACGTCAGAAGACTCACTCAAGTAGACATTGCGGTGAGTAACAGCAAGCCAGTTAAGGAAGGTAGCCATACTCGTTCTTGATTATGTTTTCACCAGATCTCCATAAGCACTGTTCCACAAAGGATCTGTATACAGTATTCAGCAGCCAGAGCTCTGTGTGATTTTTACCTTCTCTATTCCTGGAACAATGATAGTAACACACTACTGCCCCATTAGCAATTAATTGTTTAAGTGCATACCAAAACTAGTAGACCATTGAGAACTTCACTGTGTACAGTTTTAACCAAATTTAAAATCCAGATTATAATTAGACTCGAGAAACCAATGCCCTTTTAAGGTAGGAAATAGGAACAAGAGTTGATAGTTTGGCCACTTAAGCCTACTTCCCCATTCATTAGGATCATGGCTGATCCGATATTCCTCACATCCACTTTCCTGCATTTTCCCCATAATCCTTGATTGCCCTACTGAGCATGAATATAGCTATCTCAGCCTCAAATATGTACAAGGACTTTGCCCCCATAGCTCTCTGTGCCAAGGAGTTCCAAAAACTTTCAGCCCTCTGAGAGAAGAAATTCCTTATTTCAGTCTTAAATTGGTATTGCTTTATTTTGACACTATGCCTTCCAGTCCTAGGTTCTCCCATGAGGGGAAACATCCTCTCAACATTTACCCTGTCAAGCCCCTTAAGAATCCATACGTTTCAATGAGATCACTTCTTATTCTTCTAATTTCCAATGAGTAGAGTCCCAACCTGTTCAACCTTTGCTCTTATGATAATCTCTCCATACTGGAGATCATTTTAGTGAATCGTCTCTGAACTGCTCCAATAAAATGATGTACTTTCTTAAATAAGAGGACCAAAACTGTGCACAGTCCTCCAGATGTGGTCTCATCAGCATCTTATACAAATGCAGTAAGACTTCCCTTCTGTTATACTGCAACTCCCTTGAAATAAGACCAACACTCCGCTAGCCTTCCTGGGGCAGCATTGTGGCTCAGTGATTAGCATTGCTGCCTCATAGCACCAGGGACCCAGGTCCAAATCTACCCTTGGGTGACTGTGTGGAGTTTGCACATTCTCCCCATGTCTGACTGGGTTTCCTCCAACTTCTCTGGTTTCTTCCCACAGTCCAAAGATGTGTAGGTTAGGTGGATTAGCCACAGGAAAGGCAGGGATAGGGTAGGGGGATAGGCCTGGGTGCCATGCTCTTTGGAGGGTTGGTGTGGACTCAATGGGCAAAATAGCCTGCTTCCACACTGTAGGGATTCTGTGATCACTTGCGTCATCTGTGTGCTAGCTTTCTGTGTTTAGTACACAAGTAACCCCAACCACAAGCTTGCTATAGTTTTTCTCCATTGATACTCTGTTCTTTTGTTTTCCCTTCCAAAATGAGCAACTTGACATTTTTCCACGTTCTACTCCATTTGCCAACATTTTGCCCACATACTTAACCTATCAATATCGATGATAAAACAAAGGACAGTGAACACTGGAAATCTAAATAAAGGAGTTGCTGGAGAAACTCAGCAGGTCTGGCAATATCTGTGGAAAAAGAAACAGAACTAGTGTTTTAGGTCTAGTGACTTGTCTTCAGAACTGATCGTAGCTAGGAAAAGGTGGTGTATATGCGGAAGACAGAGGGTAACAGACTAAGTGATAGGTGGAATGGAGCCCAGAAAGAAAGATAGACAGAGAGATGGATCACCTTCCAGGTGAAGCAATGATTTACCTGCACTGCACGCAATCCAGTATCCTGTTTTCATTACTCACAATGTGGTTTCCTCTACATTAGGGGGATGAAACACAGACAGGGCAATGTTCCATCTGCAACAATTATTCTGAGCTTCCAGTTTCCTGCCACTCTTCAGCCCACTTCTACCAAAAAACAAGAGAACAAACC